TTTTGTCAGACATTGAATTTTGATCTTGCCCCTTTAAGACGATAAAATTGAACTGGTATTCCTTGTTAACAGGCAAGGAATTATCAAAATATGATCGTTAAAGCCTAACATATGGTTTCATATCCACATGATTTATTCGGAATATTCAAAATAATGGGATTATTTCCATGCATTTTTTATTGCTACAAATATAACGCAAACATTATTATAATTTTAACAAATTCAAGAAAGCTTGAACAGGGCAGTTAAATCAGCCAGAGTATATCATTTTTTTCTGATCTCCTTGTACAAGTTGACAAAATTTTGATGTTATATACATTCCATTTAAAGATGACACTAATTCTATTTTGCAATTTTAAGGTATAACACAACAACATGAGGCGGTCACGTTTCCGTATATTTGTCTTCGGTCATTCCAATAAATAATACTAATCAAAGGCATAACACAAAAAAACTAGTATGCTGTTCCATAAAATCTTTATCACGCACACTTCAAACAAATTTGATCGACTTGTTTCTGTATATTTCCTATAAATAATGGTCTATTCTTTACTTAGATATATCAATTCTAGATCAATTTTTATCTCGTTATAACGAGATAATTATCTCGTTATAACGAGATAACTAACTCGTTATAACGAGATAACTAACTCGTTATAACGAGATACTAACTCGTTATAACGAGATAACTAACTCGTTATAACGAGATAAATAACTCGTTATAACGAGATAACTCGTTATAACGAGATAATTTTCTTGTTATAACGAGATAACTAACTCGTTATAACGAGATAACTAACTCGTTATAACGAGATACTAACTCGTTATAACGAGATAACTTACTCGTTATAACGAGATAATTTTCTCGTTATAACGAGATAATTTTCTCGTTATAACGAGATAACTAACTCGTTATAACGAGATAACTAACTCGTTATAACGAGAAACTAACTCGTTATAACGAGATAACTAACTCGTTATAACGAGATAACTAACTCGTTATAACGAGATAATTATCTCGTTATAACGAGATAACTAACTCGTTATAACGAGATAACTAACTCGTTATAACGAGATAACTAACTCGTTATAACGAGATAACTAACTCGTTATTACGAGATAATTATCTCGTTATAACGAGTTAAATTTTTTTTTTGTCTTGTCAAAAATGAGCCTATCCGGCTTTCGTAGTCTATCATAAAAATGTAAACAAATTAGAAACTGTTGATGTATAATTTTCTAAAATAAATGTTGGAACTTTAAACATATATAACAAATGATTTGAATGCTCACCTAAATACCAATCAACTCATTTATTACGTCAAACTGGGAGTTTCAAATAAAATGCAATAAAATGATAGAAATCTCACACGTTATGTAATAAATATATGTATATTGCTAAAATAACAAGATGTGTTTGTGAAACACCGATGCCCCCCAATGGCAGCTCATGACGAAGGTTAAAGTTTCTCAAGTGCAAGTCAAAGTCCAAGGTGAAGGTCAAGAGATAGAAAATATTTTTACTCAAAGAGAGGTCTTGTCAAAAGAATACACCAGTGAAATATGAAAGCCCAAGTACCAACGGTTCAAAAGTTATAACCAAGGTTAATTTTTTTTCAAAAATAGGTCAAAATCAAAGGGTCAAAATAACTGGTATCCAATGCAAGGAAAGGTTTTGTCACAAGGAATACACCTTCAATTTAAGCTGAAATCAGTTTACGATGTTCTTCCCAGCCCAACTAATCTTGTAACATGGGGAGTGACAGATGATCCAAAGTGTGCTCTCTGTAGTAAACCAGCAAACTTGGAGCACATATTATCAGCATGCTCACAGGCTTTGAATGATGGGAGATACACTTGGAGACATGATAAAGTTCTAGCCAGTATAGCTGACACCTTGGAGAAAAGTATCAAAAAGCCAAGGAAAACAGAGAGGGCCTGAGATTTGTCAACTTTGTGAAAGAAGGTGAAAAAGGACATAAAGTTAGTGTGGAAGGAAGTGGTCTGTTGGGTACAGCAACAGATTGGCAGATGCGGGCAGACCTCAAGAAAAGATTAAAATTTGCAAGAATGTGATATCATTGCAATTAAGATATCACAGATCACTTCCAGTTTCATTTCATGCAAATAAATATTGGTATCTAAGGCAAGAATAAAGGAAAATTGATTTCACAAAAAATGTAATTTTTTTTGTTTCTTTTATGGGGTGCAAATGTATACTGTTCAAAAGACCGTTTCTTAGACTTTAATGAAATTAAGATGCATAAAATGAAAATTTTTGCATGTGAAAAAATTCAATTTCAATGTTCATTTTGGAAAACTCAATCAATTAGATAATAATTTCAAGATTTATTATTCCTCACTGAGGAGCGGATATTCATATTTTCACTAAAACTTCTTGTCTTCGAACATTTTTCCCTTAGAAATATATGATGATAGTATGTAAAAAGATGAAATCATTAAATCAATGTGCATTCCCGTAGAACACACCCCGCATTTTACAATACTAGTAGTAAATTTTCCTTTAGATTCCCCCCCCCCCCCTTGTTGCTGTAAGGTTGAGCACTGGCAAATTCCAGGATTTGGACAGTTAAAATTGTAAAGTCTGTGTAACCTAAACGCAATCAAGTGGAAATGTACCTCAGTGTCGCACACTTTCTTCGAGGACAAGATCCCAGATTTTTTTTTAAACAGTAGGGTTACATATCAGTACCTGCACTCCGTTGGATTTCATTTATCCTACACTGATCAATGTTTCTTTTCTTAAGTTTATCTTTATGGAAATGTATTGTAGAATAAATGCATAATTATAAAGTTGGGAATGTGAAGTCCATTACAATGAAAAATAAAGAAAAATATTAAATAACATTTAACGATAAGGAATTTAACTTATAATGCCTCGACAATATCATACTACAAAGTTTATATAGATGAAAAGTTTCTCCTATATCTCTACGTGTATTCTACAATATACGTGCACTGACTAGAACTAAAATAATGTACATGTATGATAAACTAATCACTACATTTATGTAGCCTAAAGTCATCGACCGGATCGGAAATCCATAAGCTTTTTGTAAAGACTGAAACCAATACTGACCCTACAGGTCTTCGCTATATTTAAAATGAAGTAAACCTTTACACAGAAATTGTATTTAAAATCCATATTAGTACAATACCAATCGTTAACAATTATAGGATTCAAATGCAGAGTTGAAATTAAATACAATATATCTTCCTCATCTATAGTATTACATGTATTTACTTCAGTATACATATATTTCGATCATTAAAATGCTTTTTTTTAATCAGCGAGATAAACATTTAAATCAGCATCGATACTGTAGCAGAAAACGTTGCTTAGCTGATATTAAAACAGAATTATAAATAACAAATTGAAGTTTATAAGTGGAAATAAATATTCCAAGATTTGAAAAAAGCACTTCCATTGACATGATCATATGACGATAAAAAAATCGAATTATAAAATCAATTCGCTTTTTCTTGTAGGTACAAAGTAGAAATGAATGAGCCTTGCCATCTGCCTCCAGTGTACGTACATGTATTGTCCATCTATATCGACTGATCCAAGTGGGGTTAATGAACAGCAATTGTCTGATTATATAACAACTGTACAAGTCCACTGTCATCTCTTTGTAGGGGTCTTGAAAGAATGTATCAGTTTTAATTTCGTTTAAAATAAGAGAGGTGAACTTGTTAAAAATTATTTTCCAATTCAAAAAATCATAACAAAGAAAACAAGTCTCACAATACTTGATTTAGGAACGAGCTTTCCTTTCATTTTCCCTTTTCCAAGGAAAGAATAGTTTCTAGATACTTAGTTCACTCTATAAACGACTGCATATGAAAGTCATGTTAACGTATACAACGCATACTAGTTTGCTTCCTAGCTCTTTTTATGTAACAAAACATCCGTACCACATTTTTCAACTATCTCACAATCGTTTTTCTATTCTTTCGTTGTGATGTTGAATTACATATAAATGCAATTAGAGCCACATCTATCTAACGATAAACAAAGAAATACTGGATTTTTGTCAATACTGATAATAGAACTAGATAAGGGAAATGACACATCTGTTCATTTTTTTAAAACGCAACAAAACCAAAAAATAAAATAAAATAAATGAATGAATAAAATTTATTATTAAAAAAAGGAAAGAAAAAGAAAAACATCAACAACAACAAAAAAACCCCGAACTTTCTTGGCATTGTTTTGATCATTATTTGGGAAGTCTAGGTGAAGCACTTAAGGTCAGCCAGACAAGTCTCTGTTCAAAATTCAGATATCACCATTTTATTTACATTAATTTTTAAATAAAGCTTGAAATGAATACGTGTATTTAATTAACAACGCAATCATAACAGGAAATTTGTCTCGAAAAATAGGAGGAAATTTAAAAAAGCTAATCTCGATTAAGTTGACGTGCAAAAAAGTAAGAAGGTATCTGTATCTGCGATGTTTCATGCAATTTAGTAAATAACGTCTCAAAAATATATTAATTTGAATTCATTAAAGTACAAAGTCATTATTAGCTGCCATTGAATTAATAATGAATTTCTATCTAAATGTAGTAATCGACATGACTTTTTTAGAACTCCAGATCTGCAGACGTTGGCGAATTCAAAAGGGCAATGTGCATGAGTTGGAGAAGTTCCAAAACTAATAAATTCTTAGACCAAAAAAAAAAAAAGAAAAAAAAAAAGCAGTCGTCAAAGCTATATGTTGCAAGTGAAGACAAAGGAGCGGTCCTTCTCAGCAGGATCTCGAGAATAATTCAGCATATGACTAGCATCACAAATCTTTGAAGCAAGTTGATTGGAAATCCTAGCATATATACATCATTATCTCTACAAATATTTTCATCAGTTCATTCTATACATGTGTATTTTATATTATTTTGTTTATTGTGTGAAAAAAGTCTTGTACAAAATATATTTTCATTCATAATCATAAAATAGTAGTCAGGCTTATGAATTTAATTGGAGAGCTTCCGTCTCCTTTCTTCTAGAAATTCTCCGAATTCCTGAAAAGACGGTAGAAGACTATTCAAACCTGTCTGGTTTTCCATGCAATTATGTGACGTCGTGTCATTTTTGAATTTGAACACACTTTGGTCTGAATTGTGGTCATGATTCGAAGAAAATGAACCAGATGATGATATGAAAGACGGTTTATAAATGGAACTACTTTTAGATGTCCAAGTACCGGGCTTACGAAGGGTTTGTTTTCCGTCAGAAAAGCCATTTTCACTTTTGAGACTTGCGATTATTTTTGTTTCCTTGTCACATTTTGAGTTCCTGCAAGACGTTAATGTATTGCTGTGGAATAGTTCGTGAATACCTTTGATCTGGGCGCTATTAAAATTTTCATCCACAGGTTCTTCGATGCTGCTCATCGAAATCACATCAAATGAAGACTGATGATCAAATTCATCTAAATGTTTCCTTCCAGGACTTCCTGTACTGTGAACTGTGATTTCACCGAGTCCACATTTAGATAACCTAGAACGCAATGTCCTGTTATTGTCCGATACATCCAGGTGCACAGAATAACGTTTAGGGTTACCAATTGTTCCCTTCTTTGACATTTTCCCATGCTGATGATAAATGAAACCATTATCCTTGGCACTAGGAACTTCGTTGTCTCCTTGTTCCAATGTCTCCGGCATAAGTACCCTTACCAACTTAACATCTGGCGCTAGACATAGTTCTGGCTTGCTTCTTTTCTTTCTTGCTTTGTCATATAATGAGCGACATTCCGGCATTGAACATGTTGGGATCTCCGTTTTACTGGAAATCACAGATATACCAGAATCCAGCTCTGCGCCGCTACTGCAACTTCCAGACTCGTACATGGAGTCAGAGGAACCCATTTTTCTTTTAAGTTGTTTTGGAACTGTTCTATTCTCAGTGAAAAAAGACACAGGGGCGTTTACCTCTTTGCTGTACACAGGACTGTATGGGTCATGTAAACTGTGAATATGGTGCGTCATGGATTTTGTACTAGTTCTCCGATGCCTCCTCCTGTGACCTGTCGTCAAGACATCGTGGTGTCGAAGATGGAGCAGACGAAATCTCGCCTTGGACAAGGAATCACGACACTTCCGGTTAATAAACGCAATTACGATTCCCATGATGATGAGGACAGAAACGAATGTCGCAATCAGTAGATAGGTGTCTCGGGTGTGGATCGGGAGTGAATTGTCCGGCTGTGGATAGAATGGAGTAGTGGTCACATTTTCTCCCGGTTTTGAATACATGTTAGAGCCAGCATGTTTTCTGAAGTATGCGTGGAATCAAAATCCAGGAGTATCCATGACAGTGTGACAGATTTCCTTTCCAAGAAAAAAGAGAAGACAATAACATTAATTGTTATTAATCCATGGTGTTTTCTTTTACTTCTAGTTTTTCACGTTGTAAGAACATAAAGGTTGTTGCTCCATGCCAGACTTTAGCAAACAACACACTATGGATAATAATAATAACGTGCAATACAGGCAGTTAGTGAGATTATAATTGACGTCGAACATGAAAATTGTTATTATTTTGTAATTAAAAAATAAAAAATAAATAAAAATACACGTACCTGTAACTTCAAACGCAATATTTTAAGTGCAAAACGGGAAGTATACAACTGACGGGCTGACGGACTGGACACATTGTATAAGTAAGAAAAGGTATCCTTGGTGATTCAACAGATGTTGAGATTTGTCTACCAACATGTGAATGTGCGAATCGTTGGATGAGTCAGTGAAGTTCAATGGCTCTAAATGTACTTAATGGCTGAAATCGATACAGATTTAATACACGTTATATAACCATTGAAGAAAACATAACATTTATTTCTGTGCATCTTTAAGAATATCTTTTTTGTAACCTTTTTGAGTTTTAGAATGACCGAGTATACAAATTATTTTTGTATAAATTTTACCATCACCGCCAACATGTTAAGAAAGAGGTTATATTTTATTTTCGGCAATGTTTTTCCAATTAAAAGACATATCAGAAGTGTTGGGCGGGTTTCAGTTACCCTTGGAAATAAGGTATGTATGCTCCGTGGAAGGATTATATATTTAATTTGAAGTGAATCTCGCACACACACAAAAATGCACGATTCTTTGATTTAAAAAAAAAATATTTTGCACTAATAATAGACTTCAAAATGAACACAGAAAGAAAGTTGACACAAAGCGGACGTTACTGTTTAAAAATATGATTTACATCTGCACACCCTTATATATAGGGTAAGTATGAACTGATAAATGAAGATTATTTGCGAAAGTTTCGCGTTATAACGCGAAAAATATTTTTTTAACGTGTTACATATTTTGTGGGTAATTTAAGGTATGTCACTCGTGTTTGTTATATCAAGGATTTTTTGAGAAGTATATTTTAGATAAGTACTCATATAACATGACTCAAAATTGCAAAGAAAATAGGGGATCAGTGTGCATCTTACTGAGCTACGGTACAATTAAGTTAATTTTGGTCTTAGTCGTAATTAAGTTCTTTTGTAAAACAGGGCCCAGATGTGGCAGTCTCTGTGTTGTCTTTTATTTCAAGTTTACTGGGATATATCGAATCAACATATGAATGAAAGTAACTATTGTTAATTGATAATACATCGTCGATCTATCTAAATGTCGAGTTGAAGGCCACAGCAAGTGTTCTCTTCTTCTCATGTAGAAGTTTTTGAATATATTCTGCTTCATAGGAATATAAAAATATGTCGGCTAATTAAGAAGCATAATTAGTGCCGATCGGAATTCCAACACGTTGTTGGAAGACCTGGTCTCCGAAGACTACATAAATGTTATCAATGAGGTTCTCCAGCATCCTTTTAATATCAACTTCAGAGTACTTGTGTGTAGAATCAGAGCGATTTTTAACAAAGTAATTTTGTTGATGATTAATCATAATATAGGAAATTTCCGACTTCCATCTTTATTGAAGAAGCAGTTAACTATGATATCAAAAAGTCTTGTTTTTAATTTATCGTGAGGAATGGTTGTATAAAGTGTAGAAAATTCGTACGTTTTAATGTTACTGACTTGGAAATTTTGGCGATTTTAAATTTTCTAAAAGTTCTTTGGAGTATTTGTAGAATCCACATCTGATTTACGACACTTCTAGAATATGCTATATATAGTAGAGTACGTCTTAAGTTTCTCCTTAACAGCAGTTAATATTTTTGTAAGGAGTAAGGATCGAGAGGCTTAGTAGAGCATTTGCTTGACCCTGCAATGTATCTCTGTAAGAATTTTATTAAATTTAGGAATTTATTCAATAAAGGAAGGGTAGATCGAACTCACCTTGGATGACTGGAATGTTAAAAGTTTAAATATACTGAAATATGATTTTGAAGAATTTCATCATTAGAAATTGAACTGCGAATCTAAGTTGGATTTCCAAAAGTAGGATTTAAAATCAAGTTCTTAAAAAATACAGTTATAATAATGAGCCTTGCAAACAAAGACAATATTGTTACAAGCCTTGTCGGCTGAAACCATAACATATTGTTTATGTAGTCTTAATTTCTTACAAAGTGTTCAGATCTTCCTTTTCATATATTTAGTTCAACGTCAGGCATAATCTTCGACAGAATTCATAATAGAAATGAAGTTCTGTTGCCAATTGAAAGATCGGGGCTTCCTGTATTTAGGACCTTTTAATATGATCTCTTTAAGGTCTTCATTTTCAAGTACAAGGTATATTTACGTCACCTGTAATGACTTGCCCAGTGGGACTGTAGTTGAAAGAAGAAGAAGAGCAAGAACACTTGAGAGGATTTTGTTTTAGACGTTCAATATCTACGCACTCACTGAAAGGAACCGATGGTTGAGTCGGAATCTTCCAACACACGTTTTGGCTGAAAGAGAATGTGCTGGGCAACATCCATATTCACAAACACTAGCTTGTATTCTGCAGTTGAAGAATCTAAGTGTATGGACAGGCGCGTAGCCAGAATTGAAATGATGTGTACGCAGAGAACGGCAGGGGTTGGGTAGGGGGTCTTGAGCCCCCCCCCCCCCAGTGTTTAAAGGTTCTAGTCAGGCACGTAATATAGTTTTTGCCAGCCAGGAAAAAATCTCAACTTAAAAATTTTGACAAGCAAGGACGAAAAAGGAAGATTGTCAAGTTTCGAAGTTCTATTTCTTGCGTGTGTGTGTTTCTTGAGGGGGGGGGGGGGGAGGGTGTCCAACTTTCACAAACCAAATTTTATTAATACATTACCAAATTACCATGATTTAACAATGGTACAACAAACGGTTGGGGTTCAGCCTTTCAATGTTCATTTTCAATAGTAAAAGGTTAGGTTTTGGGGATAAGCTGGAGGGGGGAGGCTCCCCTGATACTACGTGCCTGCTGGTGAAGGCCCAGAAGCTCCGGAGCTTTACCAAATATTTCATTCATTTTCTTGAAATACAAATATTATGCCATTTAGTTTTTGTTTAGGAAATAAAAGACAGAGTAATATTTATTGTTTTAACGAAAATTAATATTCCATGGAAACTTATTGTACATATAATTGAGGCTAAAAATTTAACCGATATATATATATATATTAATTGTATCATATAATCTTTCTTAACGTTTAAAAACACGTATACAAAATTTTAATTACGAACCAAAAAATATCGTATTGTAAATCGTACTAGTAGATCATAGCATTCAACGATGTGGCTAAAATTTAATTTTTCAAAGATCTTTTAAAAAAAAATTCAATGTATGATAGAACAATGACAAAATAATGAATGATTTATTTGAATTTGGCAGTTATTAAATAAAAGATTTCAAATTTTATCATACAGTCATCAGGCGCGTAGCTGCCTATACGCAAATACGTAAGTGCGTACACATCATTTTCAGAAAAAAAGAAAAGAAAGAAAAGAAAAAAAAGAGAATTATTCGGAGAAAAAAATCTCAGTACCATCCAGCAAATGTTCGTGTTTCAAATTATTCTGTGTCATACTGTGTCGATTTAAATTTTATATTATCATGACTGTATAAAATTTGAAATCTTTTATTTAATAACTGCCAAATTCAAATAAATCATTCATTATTTTGTCATTGTTCTATCATACATTGAATTTTTTTTTAAAGATCTTTGAAAAATTAAATTTTAGCCACATCGTTGAATGCTATGATCTACTAGTACGATTTACAATACGATATTTTTTGGTTCGTAATTAAAATTTTGTATACGTGTTTTTAAACGTTAAGAAAGATTATATGATACAATTAATATATATATATATATCGGTTAAATTTTTAGCCTCAATTATATGTACAATAAGTTTCCATGGAATATTAATTTTCGTTAAAACAATAAATATTACTCTGTCTTTTATTTCCTAAACAAAAACTAAATGGCATAATATTTGTATTTCAAGAAAATGAATGAAATATTTGGTAAAGCTCCGGAGCTTCTGGGCCTTCACCAGCAGGCACGTAGTATCAGGGGAGCCTCCCCCCTCCAGCTTATCCCCAAAACCTAACCTTTTACTATTGAAAATGAACATTGAAAGGCTGAACCCCAACCGTTTGTTGTACCATTGTTAAATCATGGTAATTTGGTAATGTATTAATAAAATTTGGTTTGTGAAAGTTGGACACCCCCCCCCCCTCAAGAAACACACACACGCAAGAAATAGAACTTCGAAACTTGACAATCTTCCTTTTTCGTCCTTGCTTGTCAAAATTTTTAAGTTGAGATTTTTTTCCTGGCTGGCAAAAACTATATTACGTGCCTGACTAGAACCTTTAAACACTGGGGGGGGGAGGGGGGGGCTCAAGACCCCCTACCCAACCCCTGCCGTTCTCTGCAGTACACATCATTTCAATTCTGGCTACGCGCCTGGTCATGATAATATAAAATTTAAATCGACACAGTATGACACAGAATAATTTGAAACACGAACATTTGCTGGATGGTACTGAGATTTTTTTCTCCGAATAATTCTCTTTTTTTTCTTTTCTTTCTTTTCTTTTTTTCTGAAAATGATGTGTACGCACTTACGTATTTGCGTATAGGCAGCTACGCACCTGATGGACTTGCTTTAGTTTCTTCAAATAGTCCATTCAAAAATTTCAGGTTAGAGTTTAGTGCGAATGTGATGAAGCCCTAATTGTTTAATGACGTAAATAAAGGCAAAAGAGAATCAAAAGAGACATCATGAATGTATGTTTGGTCAAGTTTAAATTGATAAATTTTAAACTTTTAATGTAACATATTGTATGATCGATGTCCATGATACGCCTACATCTAGGTGTATTGCTAAAATGCGCCTATATGCTTTTATGGAGTTTTCATGGAGTTAACGATA